AGGGCCACATCCCCTACCTCTGTCCCCCACCCCCCCATCTTGGAGGAGCCACTCCAGCCTGTGCCCCCGACGCAGTTCCTCACACGCCCACGTATGCCTGTGGCCCTGACCTGTCAGGCAGGTCACAGCCCCACGAGGCGGTGCCGGGCGAGGGAAGCCCTGCTCTCCAACCGCCGACTCCGCACAGGCAGCGCGGCCACCGGAGCGCAGCTCCCGCACTGCCCCTCCCACCCTCAGCGAACAGAAGGGCCGGCCCTGTTCTCTCCTCTTTGAGCACTGGGCCAGGAAGCTCGACAAGTGGCCTCGCAAGTGAGTTACTGATCAGGAGAGGCAAAGGGCTGTGCAGGTTGTACCAGGGTGCAACGGGCCGGTCTGCACTGCTGGGCGGACTGACCCAGGCTGTGCCTGTGGCCTTCTCGCATGCCCCAGGAGAGGCCGGCGGGTGTTCGGGGAGGAGTGATCCACGGCTTTATGGTGAGGTAGTTACGGGTTAGAGGTAATTCTATTCTGAAAACGCTCAAGGCTACAGTCCTAAGAACGGGGACCCAGAGCTCCCCTGGAGCCGGGTCTGCCGTCCAGGGGTGCAGTAGAGCCATTTTGAAGTGAGTGGGCCAGCCGCAGGGCGAGGGCAGAACCCAATCCTCAGGTGTTTCAGAAGAGAACTGTCCCTAAGGGGGTAGGAGTCAGCCGTTGTGTCCTCACTCATCAGGATGCTGCATCCGGGGGACTTCCTGGAGGAAGCAGCAATGACGAAGCCACCATGCCCTGGAGCCCGTGGGAGAGCCTCACCTCCCTTGGCCCTCTGGGGCTTGGCCTGCACTTAATGGAAGCCGATCCGCCTGCAGCTCCCTTGGGGGGCCGCCTGAGCGGGACGCTCCCTGGCACAGGCGCTTCATTTGAACAAAGCCCTCAGATTCGCTTGCCAGCTTGGTGACAGAGGAGTGGGCTGTGTTGAAAGTCCCAGCGTGGTGAATGTCATGTGACTTCCCAGAATCTACCAAGACTCTGGAAATGGCCTAGAAAGTTCTCGAATGATTCACTCCGATGCTGTGGCCTCGTTACTCACTGCTCCTCCTCCAGAGCCGTCTTCAGCCACAGCCCGCAGACGTGCCGGGGGAGGGAGGCGGTCCGTGAGCTGACAGATATCCGGTCAGGGGTGGGGCAGCCACCCGGCGTGGACGCTCCTTCTCAGACCGGCTTTCCCTCCTCCTCCCCTGAGCTCTGCTGCCCCCTCCGTGGACCGAGCCCCCACTGCCTGGAAACCGAGTCTGCTCACCCCGGCCCTGCTGCTCCCAGCCTGCTTCCTGCCAGGCCGCTCGGCCTCTCAGTGCCTGGCCGTCCTGCCCTCCCCCTCCCCACGCTGGATGGGCCTGAGAGCATGGCCCAGGTGGGGCACAGAGGGCACCTGGTGCAGACCTCAGAACACATGTGGTGCCACGTGCAACCTGGACACGCACACTAGGAAGTGTTTGCTATCCACGTACAATTCGAGCGCAGCTGGGCATCCTCTGTGCCAGCCCAACCAGGGAGCAGCACGTGGGGCTCTCGGGGGCAAAGCAGAGGCCACTGAGCTCGCACCCTCCTGAACCCGGTCCTGTCTCAGAGACCTGGCCCAGCGGGTCAGCCCGTCTGTCAGAGTCCATCGCCCCAGTGTGGCCAGAAGCCCACACGGCCTCTCTGCCTGCCTTGGGGGTAGGGAATGGATGGGGGCTGCAAGAGGCTGGGCCAGGGGTGAGTGGAGGGGAACCCCCAGGACTCCAGTCACATGGAGGTCTCTGCCCTGCGGGGTTCCTGCCCTTCCCCCCTCAGCACCATCGCGGATCACGGGGGATGGGGGGACACAGAGCTCCCCCTTCCCCCCTCAGAACCATTTGTGGATCACAGAGCTCCCCCTTCCCCCCTCAGAACCATTTGTGGATCACAGTGGGTGACACAGAGCTCCCCCTCCCCATCCCCAGTACCATCATGGATCACGGGGGGTGGGGGGTGACGCAGAGCTCCCCATCCCCGGTACCATCATGGATCACGGTGGGAGGCAGGGTGACGCAGAGCTCCCCCTCCCCATCCCCGGTACCATCACGGATCATGGGGGGGGGGTGACGCAGAGCTCCCCCTCCCCGTCCCCGGCACCATCGCGGATCACGGGGGGTGGGGGCACATGGCCAGTTCCACACCCAAGCCGCGAACCAGTGCCCACCCTGTCTCTATTTCCCAGCGAGCTCTGTGAGGTGCAGCAGGTGCCCAAGGTCAGATCTCAGCCCACACAGGGTCTAAACCCAAGTCTGCCGAACCAGAGAGCCAAAGGACCCCAGGGTGACAAGCCGAGCCGGCACCAGGCCAGGCCAGGCTCCCTGACACCAGGAGGTTAGAGGCCATCGGCCAGCTCGGCCCAGCTCTGGAGCCCGGGACTACGGCGCTGCACCGAGGGCAGGGCGGCCCCACCTAGCTCAGCACTGGCCGTGGGCGAACGCCTGAGCCGAGATTGCGCTCTGCCACCGATGCTGGGAGCTGGAGGTGACCCGCCCCGCCACACAGAGGGGCCGGTGAGCCTGGCGACATGCCCCTGCCTTCCCCCCGTGGCCACGGCACTCCCGCCTCCCCTCTGCCCACCTCCCCTCTCTGGCCCATCTCGGTCCCACCACGTGGCTCCCAGCAGCCTCCGGCACCACCCCAGGACGAGGGCAGGCAGGGACAGCGGCCGCCTACCCAGGACGTTCATCCCGTCCTTGAACTCCAGCCCCTTCTTGATCGTCATCCTCGCCTCCTCGGGGGCCTCGGCCACCGTCTCGTTCAGGAGGGCCATGGCAGCGCTGGTCGCGTTGGCCTCCTCGTCCGCGTGAGCTGCCACCAGGACTTTCTTGGTCACCGTTTGAATCTGGCGGAGTACAAGGAGGAAGCATAGAGACAAGGTTGGCGAGGGAGGCCCGCAGGGGCCTGGCCGTTTACATACGTAAGCGTCCCGAGACCTCGTAACCAGGAAATGCCGAAGCCAGGCTGTGAAGACCAGGGGCTGTTTAATACGTTCAGGTTTAACAAAGTGCCGCACATTACGCCCCCGCCGTGGCACGCCACTGTCCCGACAAGATAGTCCGAGGGCAGGAAGCCCGCTCGGGAGTACGCGAAGCGGGTCTGACGCGGACAGGGCTAGAGAGACCCCCTCCACCCCTGGGTCGGGCTGCGGGACCGCGAATGTCTGACCCGAGCCACCCCGTGTGACGATGTTCTCCAGCCCTGTGACGCCCCGGGACCGGGCAGAGCAGGAGGGCCATGGAGATCGGGTCCCACCCTCCTTCCTCCTGCTGGGCCCAGTGGGCCACTGTCACGGCCAACTCAGGGAACCTTCCAGAGCCGGCTCTGCAGGGATCTGCCAGGGCCCATGTGTGCCCAGCCAGCAGCGCCCACGGCAGGACCACTGCTCGGGTTCAGGCGTGCAGAGGAGGAGACATCCGCCCCTTCCAGGCAGCCCGCCAGCGCCTGCTCAGAGCCTCGCCGCGCCTGGGCAGACGGTGCACCAGGGCCCCCGGCTTGCTCCTCGATGTCCATGGCCACATTCCTATTTTCAGAGGTGCCAGGTGCCCTGCAAGCAGAGAGCTGCGAGAACGGCGTCACGCCCGAACACCCCCAGGGCTCTGAGACTGCGTGTGCCCCGTCCAGTAGACGCTGGCTGAGTAGGCACGGACTCGGCTGCTCAGGGAAGTCGGGACTCGCGGGCCGTCGTGGAGTGACTGCCCAGTTGGGGCCTGAGCTCCTGCCCCTGCACTGTTAGACCGGGCACAACCACGGCCCAGCTGCGGTGAGGGCCCTCGGGTGGCTCTCAGAATGGGGAGGGAGGACGCAGGCTCTGGGCAGGCGCTTTGTCCCAGCTCAGCCCACCTGCTCCTGCAGGGAAGAAAGCAGCCCGGGCCTGCCGTGCAGGAACCACAGCTGGCTCATCGGCCGCAGTCTGGCAGCACTGGATGGAGAGAGGGGGCAGACGGGACACTTCCGAGGACAACAGTCAGGCTCCCAAACGGGCAGAAGGCCAAGGCCACGATCCCCATCCTGAGATGCGCCATGCTCAAGGATGGGGAGAAGGTGCACAAGTGACATCCCTTACCTCTGTAATCGCCAGAGGACAGGAGCGCTCATCGAGGGAGCGGGAGCGCCCCGTGGGCCGCGGTCAGGCCCCAGCCCCTCATCCGCCCTTCCACACTGAGCTCAGCCGAGCAGGCAGCCCAGTCCAGACTCTAGTCACCATGCCACACATGCCTGGCGTGTTTCTCAAGCCACCAGGGCTGGGACTCAAGCCGTGCTCAGCCATGTGGGCTCCAGGCCCTGAACCACTAGGCCACAGGGCTGGCCTCACCTGCTACCTGGGTGCCACCATTGCCCTCGAGGGGCGTAGAGCTGAGTGACCCGGAGCAGGGCACCGGCCACTCGCCGAGGCGGGGTTCAGAGGGTGACTGCCAGGCTCTGAAATCTGGCTTTTGACCTCACGGACCAGGGCTTGGGCTAAGGATGGACAGGGCGTGTCCACGCGGGCCAGTTCCCCACCTGAGCCCTCGGTTCTCAGGCCCCTGGGGACCCTCCACCAGAGCTGCCTTCGTCAGGCGCCCTAACGGAATGCCAGCATCTGGGACCCACCCCGGGCAGAGTGCACTTGTGGTTCTGGGCCCGCGCAGACTGCGTGGTGGGGCGGGGGCAGAGAGGTGCCAGGCAGACCCTGCCTCCCGGGAAGACACTCCCCCGCCCAGAGCCTTCTCAGCCTAAACCCCTCCCAGTCTCAGCAGTGCTGTCACCATGGCGACCATATTTCGGCCTGTGCTTTGGAGGAAACACACTCTTTTCATGGCTGGGTCCCTCCAGCCTCTGCCCTGGACCCTGCAGGAGACCCCAAGTGACCTGCACCCCCCCACCTTTGTCCACCTCACCTGCAGGGGAGGAGGGCGACCAGCCCCATTTCCGTGGTGATGGGGTGACTTCCAATTGAAGATAGACCTCTGCCTGTCGGAAGACCCTGACAGGACCCAAGTCTGACCCGGGCTGAGCAGGGGTGCCTGGGCCGAGTCCACCACGGCCCCTGCTGCACCCCTCGCCCACCATCTGAGCGCGCCAACTTCTCCCTGCCTCTGCAAGGCTGCACCCGACCCCTGATGGCTGACTCACACATCCCCTGAACACGGGGCCCTGTCCTACCTGCTCCCCTCAGAGCATGCTTCCCCGTGTCAGAGTCCTCGCGTGCTCACCAGTGTCTGCTTAGCTCGCCCCTCCCCTGAGTGTACACCAGCTCCCTGGGCGGGGCCTCGCCCCCCGGGGCTGCAGCACCCCTGCACTCACCAAGGGCCCACAGCCAGGGGTGCGTGGAGTGGGAAGGGCTGTGATGAAGCCACATCACCCTCCCAGCCCTCCACGTCCCTACACTGCCTTCACAGGGATGGCCGAGAGGACACCCCGATCCCCACGGTGGAAGTAACCGTGGCCTGTCCTTGGCCTGACAGTGGAGGGGTCCACGCCGCATGGCCCCACAGGAAACCTCGGCTCAGCAGAAGCGCTCACACCAGGCAGGAGGCTCCCTCCCTGCTTCCGAAGGCTTGGCCGCCTGGCCTGGGCACCCTGGATCTGGTCGGTCAGGCAGCCTTGCTCTGGGACAGCCCTTTGCTCTTGCAGTCTCTGAATCTGGACGGGAAACTCCATTCAAGAGTGGTCATCCACGTCCGAACACACCCCAGGAGACAGAAGCAGCCCTGTGAGCCCCGCTCAGTGCCACCCCTCCATACCAACAGCCTCCGCTCCTCAGGCCTTTTCCAGGCCCCCAGCCAGGCATGAGGACTCTGACCCTGAACCTGTGGGTACTCTCCCTCCCTCTCCGGTGGGTGCATGCACCCTCCAGCCAAAAGAACAACCCCAAGGCCCAGGCCCACACAGCGGTTCCGATCCCATGGGGGCAGCACTGTCAAAGCATCACCCGGGAGGACCGTGGGGACTAGAAGGGCTGTGGGCACAGCTGGTAAAAGCGAGCCTGGGCAGACTCCAGGACAGGAACCCGGAGGAAAGGCACACGGGAGCCGGGCAGCAGGACGCCACACTTGAGCACAGCGTGGCTCCCTGGGTCACCTGCTGGAAACAGGCTTGGACGAGGTTTTCAGGGAAGAGGTTTCGGATGAGGTCCAGGAAGGCGTCCAGGCTAGACACTTCGTCATTCTTCTGTCCCGGCCCCAGCTGCTTCTTGAGCTTGGGGTTGCCCGGGTGGATGGCCAGGACCAGGATGACGCCCAGGACAGCTGCGATGATGGTGGTGGACATGTAGTACACCATGGCGCGCGTGCCCAGGCGGCCGCTGGCCTTCGCGTCCAGGCCTGACAGCCCTGGATGGAAAAGAGAGCCGGGTGAGTGTGGCCCTCCACGTGGTGTCAGCACCGCGCCGCCTCCGCTCCCACGCGAAGGCCCTGGGTCCATGCAGGGACCGCCCTGAGTGTGCCCGGGTCAGGCGGGCCACAGCACAAAGACGCTGTGGGTGGTCCTGTCGCCCTGTCCTCTCTCTCTCCCCCTCTCTCTGGTAGAAGAAATAACGGTTTTAGAAGCCAAAATCACTAGAGATAGTGTCACTCTGACATGTGGCTGAGCGGATGGCGAGTCCTTTAGGGTGACTACACCTTTAGACAGGAGAGCAGAGGCCCTGCAGTGGAGGGACGCCTACCCCGAGTGTCCAGTCGGTCAGAGTGGGAGCGCAGTTGGGCGGGGATGTGGGGGACTCACCTGGGATGAGGCTGGGGACCGTGTCCACACTGGAGCAGGGATGTGAGGGCAGGTGGGCAGCGGAGGCTCACCTGGGATGAGGCTGGGGACCGTGTCCACACTGGGGCAGGGATGCGAGGGCAGGTGGGCAGTCGGGGCTCACCTGTGATCAGGCTGGAGACGATGAGAGGTAGGATGAGCATCTTCAGCATCCGCATGAGGATGTCCCCCGGGAAGGCGATGAGCAGGACCACATCGGGGTGGATGGGGGACACCAGGCGGAGCAGGCCCCCGCACACCGCCCCCAGGATGACACCTGCAGAAGGCGGGCAGACTCCGGTCTCTGCACCATCACATGAGGAGCGCCAGGGCCTCTGCACACGTGTGCTGAGTAGCCAGCGAGAAAGCCCCGAGGTGAGGGAAGCGGCGCCGGTGCTGGCTGAGCCCTGTAGCTGCTGCCTGGACCCGCACGGCAGCCTCAGGGCAGCTCCCGAGGTGCGGAAAAGGTATGTGGCCTCTGACTCAGCCCACGACCTGTTCACGTGGAGTCAGGGCGCTCAGGGACCCACCAGGGCTGACGCCCCGGCCTGGCACATGGTCTCCTCTACCAAACTGGAGCCCAGACAAGAAGCACGTGTATGTAAAAGATAAGTCAGGGCCAGCAGGTGGAGTAGTGGTTACGTTGCTGGACTCCCACACAGCCAACCGTGCGTGGTTCTAGTCCTGGGCCCGGTGGCTTCAATCATGCTGTGAGCATGTGCATGTGCACCCAAGACCCCGGGAGGAGGATGGAGAAGGGGCTGCAGCATGGCCATCTCCCAGTGGGTGATTTCTCACTTTCCCTCTCACTGCCTCTGTCTCTCTCTCCGGTCAGTGCAGGTGCCATAAGGCAAAACCTCTAAATAAATGAAATAAAGCAGGCATGTCTTTCTTCTCCCACCCTTCCCCTCCGCCGTCTCGAACACTGGACACTGAGAGGCCCTGAAGATCTGGGTCAGTGTCACTAGCAAAGACGGCCGTGCTAGGTGGGGCAGTGGGCTCGTGCCACCCTGCGGCTGGAGCCTGGGCCCGGTGCAGCAGGGGAGGGGAGCCCCAACTAGAGGCGGCGGTGGGCTCGGGAGAGAGAGACACGAGCAGCAGAAAGCAGGACCCGGCTGTCCGGCCGTCCGACGGAGACCGCAGCTCTGCACGGGGCTCAGGTCACCCTTCGCGTCACGAGGCCCGTGCTGTCTCCGTCCCCTTGCATCTGTGGTCCTGAGCGAGCCTCCCCTGGACTGTGCGCGGCTCCCTCGGCCGACACCGCCCTGCAGGGCAGACCGTCTCCGCGAGAGCTTCGGCATGTCCAGCAGCGCTGGCCCGAGGCCATGTCTGCTTAACGGGCTCGGGTTTCTCCTAGGTCTAGCTGCTCCTGACACGTCCGTGGCCAGCCGGCGCCCAGGAGGCCCGTGCTCAGGCCTGACCCGGCCGCTTGGGGAGGCTGCTGACAGCCCTACCTGTCCCCGTCTGTCTGCCTCTCCGCATTTTTCTCTCATGGAAGAAACTCTTTTGAAAATGAGCACCACGGTCCCTTTACATCTCCTGACCTGCTCACCTGGCAGTCTGTGGTCTGTGTGCCCTGGAGGGAAGGGGACAGCGCCAAGTGGCCTGGCTGCCCCCGGCTCAGCCTCCAGGCTGCCCTGCCACGTCGCCTGGGGGCTGCTGGTCTGAGGGGAACTGAAAGGTGCTCGACAATATGTCACCTCAGGCCGCCCAGCACCTCGAAGATCCCACACCCCAACTGCAGGCCCCACAGAGGGGAGGCTGACACCGCCCTGCAGAAACCATGGTCAGTCCTAAGGCTGTGGGGACAGCAGCTCCAGGGAGGTGGCCGTGTTACCCCGGGGTCGAAAGGGAGCTGGCCGTGGTCCCTTCAAGTAAACACAGCCTGTGGTTCTGGGACGTCCAGGCCCCATGACGAAGGCCCGTCTATGTGAAGGGGGCCGAGAGCCCACACACCAAGGTTGCCCTTCACCATGGGAGCTGAGCTGGCAAGCTCCGGTCCAGCCCTGGAGCCCAGAGACCAGGTCACAGGAGGGTGTGGCATGGGGCCAGGCTGTGGCTTCTCCTATGGCCTCAGTGAGACCCAGAGGCAGGACTGAAAAAGGGAAGTGGCTTCAGGGCAGGGGACACAGACACCCACTGTTCTATGAGCTCTCAGGGAGCTACGGCACGATCCATGAGCTGTCTACACGGGCGGACCGGGCGGGCTGTGTGAGCTGTCTACACAGACGGACTGGGAGGGCTGTGTGAGCTGTCTACATGGGCGGACCGGGAGGGCTGTGTGAGCTGTCTACACGGGCGGACCAGGTGAGCTGTGTGGGCTCTCTACACAGATGGATCGAGTGAGAGGGCTGTGTGAGCTGTCTACACGGGCGGACCGGGTGGGAGGGTTGTATGAGCTGTCTACACAGGCAGACCGGGTGGGAGGGCTGTGTGAGCTGTCTACACGGGTGGATCAGGCGGGAGGGCTGTGTGAGCTGTCTACACGCGTGGACCGGGACGGACTGGGAGGGCTGTGTGAGCTGTCTACACGGGCAGATCAGGCGGGAGGGCTGTGTGAGCTGTCTACATGGGCAGACTGGGCTGGAGAACCAGCTGGAGCAGACTCGAGCCCCAGAACTGCCTCCCTAAACAAGCCTCAGTGTGTGCCCCGACAGTAGCAGTCCCCACTGTCTGGAGGAGGGACACCTGGGGGCCTCTGTGGGTCTCCTGCAACCCTCGCCCTCCTGGAGGAGGGACACCTGGGGGCCTCTGTGGGTCTCCTGCAACCCTCGCCCTCCTGGAGGAGGGACACCTGGGGGCATCTCTGTGGGTTTCCTGCAACCCTCGCCCTCCTGTCAGTGCGGTGTTTCTCTAAGCATGCTCCCCCGACACCTGCTCAGAAGGTGCCTAGGAGGCTCACGAACACACCGAGGCCAGGGCTCCCTCGGCGGCCCACAGCAGAGCACCGTAGGTGTGCCTGAAGCCCGTGCCACAGGAAGCCGCACGCCCAAATCTGGGGCCGCGATAACCCAAAGGAGGGGCAGGGACTGAGGGGGCGACGCCTGGGCGGCAGCCTGTCAGGACACCGCTCCCAGGCACCTACCGGTCACGGTGAGGGTGAGCAGCAGGTTCTTCCCCAGGCCGCCGCACACGCGCAGACACAGGTTCCGGGGCTGGGGCTCCTCCGAGCCGAGGTGGCTGTCGTGCACGCGCACTTCCACCTGCCTGGGCATGGCGTGGGCCCTGGGGCGGAAAGAAGGCAGCCACTGAGACGCCTGCCCCCGAGCCCGCTTCGGGCTCACGTAGTGGGAGCCCCCGACGCAGCCCAGAATCCGGAGCTGTCGGCTGGTCCGGTGCCCGCCTCCAGCTGGCCCCTGGGCGGGAAGGACACACAGACCCAACCTTGCCTGGCGTCTCTAACCTGCTGCCTCAGACCTTCGTGGTAAAGACTGAACGCCAGGCGGCTACGGGGTTTTCCAGGCGCTGCCCGCAGTGGTGGGTGAGGGCAAACGCCTGCCCCGTCTCACCAAGGGTAGCAGCCCCTTCCCCGGGGCTGCAAGGCAGGAAGGAGAGATTCCAGATGCGGGGTGGCCGGGGTGCCGCTCCTCGAGGTGGGCCTGCACGCGAAGGCTCCAGGTTCATGTGCAAAGAACCCCTGAGCAAGCCAGGCGCACACACCCGCGGTCGGGACCGAGGCGGGGTAGACAGCACCGAGGCCCTGTGGGTGTCGTGTGTGCGCGTGCGAGCGTGCCCGTCACTTGGGAAGAAACGCTCTTTTAAAGACCCAGCCACTGCCCAGCCCTCCTGCTGACAACAGTAAGAAGGTGACTTTCTCGGGGAGCCACGGGCTGAGCCGTGCCAGAGCTAAAACACTCCCAACCTCGAGCACGCCCATCCAGGCAGTGAGAGCTGCATGCGCCAGCCATCCGGCTCCGACCCCTACGTTAGGAAACGCAGTCTACCCGGTTAAAATGCTCCCTCTGTGGCTCGGAAGGCCCTTCCTGTCAGGACTGGGGCACTGCCTGAGGCTACCTTGCCCTCGCGGTAACCCGCCGTCACGCGGGTGTGGCTCAGTCCCTTCTAGGTAAGCCACGGGACCGGACACTGTGGGACCTCTCCCGAGGCAGCCTGGCCATGCCCTTGCTGGCGTGCGCATACTCTTCTTCCCAGCCGTGGCATGGCCCGGACAGCGAGCGCCTGAGATTGACACAGGCCTTTCCGGCAGGCTTTGCCCGGGCACGTGCGCTCCCTGAGCGAGACAGAGAGGGGTGTGAGAAGTCACTCCCTGGGGAGTGGTCACGTCACAGTCTCTTCGTTCCCTCGGGACCTGGGGTACACATGCCACACACACACGGCACAATTTTCAAGCTGCCAGGTCAGACCTGGAACTTGAACCGTGGTCACCCACGTGGGAGTCAGGTGCCTTAACCACCATGCCGCCTGCTGGCTTCCAGTTGTTTTTCTTTTTTTAATTTTCCACAGATCTTGTAAGAGAGAGAGAAAAAGAGAAAGGGGGTAGGAAGCAGCCGCCATCTGCAGTCGCCATTACTCGGTTAAAAAACAAAAAGAAAGAGGGAAGGAGAGCCTTCCGCCCTTGCACGGAAGGCGGTGCTTCCCAAGTCGAGGGTGCCCTGGGCCCACATGCCCTCCCCAGCCGCACGAAGCCCTTGTGCTGCCAGTGCGCTCCTGGCCTGAGGGGCGGGCTCCCTGGGGATTGCGGCAGCTGAGCGGCCTCCCAGAGCCCAGCTGCTGGTGCGGGCCTCGCCCGGCTGCACGGCCCGGGAAGGGGGCCTGGCACGCGCCCATGGAAGTCAGCCAGAGCAGCTCCCGTGACACCTGACAAGCAGCGCCTTTCTCCAGGCCGGCAGGAAGAAATGCCCCACGCTGGGCCCATCTATGGCAAGGACAAGGACGGCATTGAATTCAGGGGCCGGGGCCGTCCCACCGCACCGCCCCCAAGGCCAATGGCGGACCGAACCCAGACCCCACCCACTGCTGCTTTTTCAGCCCCACCACCAAGTGCTTCAGGCTGGGAGCGCCGTCTAGAGAGTGCTCCGATGAAACCCGCAGTCAGACACGCACTCCCAGCTGCCCTACAGGCTGGGTTTTCTATTCATCTGGCTAATTTCTGCAGCAGCAGTGGACACCCTGACACCCATGGTCACTCCAACCGACTGGAAAGGCAAAGAGGGCAGGACACACAGCCCACGGCCCATGGCACATAGCCCACAGCTCATAGCCCACAGCCCACAGCACAGCCCACAGCCCACAGCACGGCCCACAGCCCACAGCTCATGGCCCACAGCCCACGGCCCACAGCCCATGGCTCAGCCCACAGCACAGCCCAAAGTCCATGGCTCACACCAATGAGGACTGCCCCCCAGGAGCCACGCCCACCTGCCACCACAGCCCGTCAGGGAAGCCCTCTCGCAGCGCAAGAGGGCAATGACGGGAATGGCCCACGCCCTTTAGCTTGGCTAGCCACACTTAAACGTTTCCTTTGGGGTCTTTTTTTTGGGGGGGGAGGTTTTTGCAATAGGGCACGTGTGCTCACCAGAAAGACAGAGAGACAGAGAGACAGAAAGCGAGAAATCACTCCCTAAGGGGAATGGCCATGCCGCAATCCCTTCTCCTCTATTCCCCTCTTGGGATCTTGGGCACCCACGCACACACACCCGGTGTGAGTTTAAGCCACCGGGTCTGGGACTCGAATTGCGGTTGACTACGTGGGAGTCCAGCGACATAGCCATTACGCTAACTGCTGGTCCGTCCTTTGGGGTCTTTTTACATGCTTAAACGTTCTGCCAGCCTGGGCCCAGGAAGCGGAGTGCGTGGTCTGGAGGCAGCAGTGCCCTGTACAGGGCGTGCTCCTCTCCGCCAGCTCCCGGTGACACTCCGCGGTGCCGAGACGGGTCCCTCCTGCCCCTGCCTCGTCGGAGCTCTGCCACCGGGCTTGGTCCTCACGACACCAACAGGTGCTCCAGCAAACCTCTGGTGGGTCCCCGTGAGGTTACAGGGCCGGCATCAGAACCACGCGCCATGGTACAGCCACAGACTGCCGTGGGCACCCGTGCACCGGCAGGGCCCCGGCCCCGGCACACGAGTACGTCCACCACA